ATCGCTATCGATTTCACACCAAGTATTCGATAAATTATTTGAGCATATTTTGATTGTGTTTTGGTTCATTGGATATGTGAGTTACGATTAGCATTGGATTTAATTGATTCGTAGCTTGACCGTTGTTGAACATTTACGTTCATTATCACTCCGTTTGATTTGCGATACGTATATTGCTTTTCGATAGTAGGTTCGGCTAGACGATTCGATTCGGTTCGTTTTTCCACTGCACCATATTTTGAAAATAAATTTTTGGCAAAAGTGTTTTGTTGTAAAATTTGTGATAAATTCACCCCCCCCCCCTCTAGATCAAAGCCCGTAGTCTAACAAATGTATCTTAAACAACTTATGTTACCTAAAACATCATTCAAAGCACACAAACAAATATAATTTTGAAAAACTTACCAAATCAAATGGATGAAAAAAGAGAAGCTTAAATGGATGAGAAAGAACTCCAATGGTAGAAGCTTGAATGGATGAGAAGTCTGATTGAGTGTGATAGGTTGAATGGTATTTTTTGAGTCAAAATAGAAAATGAAGGAGGAAGAGGGAAGGGTTTGGTGCGAACATATAAAATAAAAGTGTTTGGAGATAAATCTTCAGACCACCAACTTAATTTTGAATTAATGGTGTTTACGGATATGCATCTTCGGATACACCTTATATGCACACGCAGATGCATCTCTAGATTAAATTTTGGTAAATAGGGTGTCTCATCAGTTTGCATTGAGAAATGTGTAAATAATGTGCTATTAGAGTTTGACCTAACTCATCCTCACAAAACCGACTTGTAAGGTAAAAAGTGTCACTCTGTATAAACTATTTCAATGCTCTATGTCAAACCAATGTGAGACTTAGGATTTTATCAATACACCCACTCTCATACAACACTCTTTTAGATTTGATGTGTGAATTTAAATGATGAGGCAGTTTATGGTCTGATTGATAAGCTCTGATACCATATTAGAGTTTGACCTAACTCATCTTTACAATACCGACTTGTAAGGTGAGATGTGTCACTCTATATATTCTTTCAATACTCTATCTCAAACCAATGTTGGACTTGGTATTTTCCCAATACATGTGTCCAAAGATGCATCTCCGGACGATAAGCACAATTGTAACTTTTCACAATGGTGTGAGAGCACCCCTAAGGATGGAAAAATAATCCCTTTTTTACAACAACTTGTAATATGGTGTTGGCCCGAGAACTAAATCATCTTGCTAAGGGGTTACTCTTTCTACCCTTATGGGTGTGACCCACACCCTTAAAAATCTGAAAATGCTCTTCTTGTGTCCAGAGATGCATCTTCAGACACATCTAAAATCACACTAAAGAAGATGTTGCAAGTGAAACATTCCTATTTTGCCCAAAAATATGTTCGAATATGTCTTTCTATAAAGTGTTAAAATATGTAGATTCATCCAATAAAGTCTTCCCTCATTTGAATTATAGTGCCTTCATCTGGACTTACCCAAACTAGAGGACTCACTTAATCACACATATTTTCGTGATAAGATGACAAAAAAATACTCAGGGATTTCATTTATAGTTCCTTCGTCTTATAAAAAGTGTCTTATTTTATGTTTTTTTATTTCAAAATAATTGTTAGAATACCAATGCAACATATATTTTTTTCACTATTATACCATAATTTAATAACGTTCACTCTGTTCAACTACTCCACTAATTATAATTAATAAAGGTTTTTTAATAAATAAAATCACTAAAATCAAGATATCTAATTATTTTAAGAATCATGTATTGTTCAAATAAGACATTTTTTATGAGACGGATGGAATAATTCTCAGCACCAAGATTTCTTTATCCATGAAAATTTTGGCACATCAAGTTTTTGGTTCTTTATCCATGAAAATTTTGGCACATCAAATTTAAAATCATAGTAGTATATTTGAACCCTTATGATTTAGTTAAAACTTTATGTACAAAGGTTCAACTAATTTTGAATGGGAATACGAATTTTTTATTCAAATAACTCAACTTTTCAAAAAAAAATCCAAAATAACTCACATTTCAAAATTATTCTCAAAGTACCCCAGTTAGGATTTGGGATTACACAAGGGCGTCAAATGAATTGACGACGCCTTGTTAAGGCTATAGGGGAGTCGCCAATTGACCTAGAGACTCCTCATGCAGTCTTCATTCCAATTGACGGCTGAGTGTTGTACTTACAAAGGTGTCGCCAATTCGACTAGAAACCCCTTGTATTTTAAAATTTTTTTCTAAAAAAATAAATACTTCCAAAAATGATTAATAAAATAAGTCAGAGGGAAAAATAAATGTTATCATTAATTAAAAAATGTATTACATAAACTAGTGTTGGCGACCAAGTTGGTCATACCGGCCACCGGTTCCACATCCCTTAGAACCCTAACTCGTTGCGCTCGTCCCCCTCTTTGTTGATTCACGTCTAGTGTTTGAGGAGTTTAAGTCTCAGAAACATTCACAGATGGTTCCCGAAGAATCTCTTGCATTTTCATTAGGTCATGTATGTTGAAACTGAGCGTGCGACCCATGCCAGAGTAGTTCGGATGTGATGAAGGGGTCATTGGTGTGCGGCCTGGATGATTGAAGGGGAATATTGGTGTGAATGATTTGTTGGTGAAAGGTTAAAATGGTAGTGGTGTTTGAAAGCCATAAGGTTGTTGAGATGGTTGAGTGGGTAGGTCAGGGTATGATGTCAGAGCGTTTTGGCTATGGAAAGATGTTTGGACGTTATGGCTATGGTATGATGTACCCTCGTTATGGCTATATCTTGACGTTGTGTTGGGGTCATAGCCATATTAGGGTTCTGGATTGTAGTCAGTGTGTGGGATATGGTATGGGGGACGTTCTTGGTATTGTGGTTGGATGTTTGACATGTTTGGATGGTGAATGGGTTGGTAATTCTGTTGGATAGGGGGCTGTGAGTAATATGGCCTTTCTTGTGGGTTAGAAGTTGAAGCGTCTTGTGTGTAGGTGGTTTGGCGTGGATCGTATAAATATTTGTCTTCGAAGACAAACCCAGTTGCAACTGATCTGTACCAAACTCAGCTTCTTGTATTGCATTACACATATTGCACAGAACTTCATGTGTGCAATCAAAGATAAGAACCTTCGCAAAAAAGTTGTGAATGTCGGGTATGCCCTAACTCAACCAACATTTCAATACTACTTTAACAAAATCAGGATGTCAAATACAGATGCAGGAAACAGTAAACGTATAAGAACCGAAATGGATACGGCTGATAAAATGATAAGATTGTGCAGTATATGTCATCAGTCCGGACACAATCGGAAAAAAATGTCTCAATGTCGAAGGCACATCTGCATCATGATTTAGCTTATCGTTTCATTTGTTGTAACCAAATATTTTTATATATTGATGAGTCTTTGTTACAATGGTCTTAACAACAAACAAGATTAACAACACATAACACATACTAATTTCATAAAACATAAAACATTAACTAGGTGATTGCGACATTCCTAACTAATTACAACAATCAAACTAATTTCATTCAGTCCAAACATGACTTCTCTCGCATCTTTGTCGGTCTTAACACGAACCCATCCACGCAGTCGATCAAGTCTCTCGATATTACGGATCTTTTCTCCTTCACCAATGTCTCCTTCCAACCACCGATTCAACTCCCTCTTAAGTTGATTGAAACTTTGTATGTTCCAAAACGACATGTCCATTGGAAGCTTCTCTCGAATAGACGACTTTTCTCCACCAGCAACGATACATGTTATCAGCAGAACAAAGATATCAGATGAAATGTAAAAGTAAATGATTATAACACTTCTATTTATAGAAAGCAAATTTCAAAATACAAAGGGTCTCCAGATGAATTGGTGACACCCTTGTAAGTACATCACCTGGTCGCCAATTGAATTGGAGACTGTATAAGGAGTCTCCAGACCAATTGTCGACTCTTTTATAGCCTTAACAAAGTGTCGCTAATTCATCTGGCGCCCTTGTATAATCTCAAACCCTAACTGAAGTACTTTGGGAATAATTTTGGAATATAAGTTATTTTGAAACTTTTTTTTTAAAATCCGGATTATTTGGGTAAAAAATTTTGGAAACGCTTTCTCACGATTTTATGATAACAAATTAATTTTTGAAAGTGTAGCATTCTGATGCACCTAAAAGTCTATTAACACTTTCTGAGAGTGTACTTTTTGAATTCTAAAGATATATTTTTAAATAAATTTTAGACAAAATAAAAGTGTTTCACTTGTAATAAAAAAATGTATTCTGAGAAACATCTCCAAACACTGGAGTCAATTGTGACCTTTTACGGAGGTGGAGAGCATCCATAAGAGCGGAAAGAGCAACCCCTCGTTTGTACAAATTCTTGAAACTTTTGGTTCAACAGTAAATTTTATAAAATTTTAATCTGATGCCAAAATAGTAGTATTAATCATATAAACAAACAATATTTCGTTATTTATTTTGTTACAATATATTTCATCCTATCCTTTTCCAAACAAACCATTTTAATCTAAATATTTGTCAAAATACAAATAGTATATTTAACATGTAATTATGTATTAATATGATAGATTTTATCTGAATATCTGATTCAGCCAGACCATTCCCCATCAAACTGTGAGATTTCTCCACATTTTTGCTGCGGGTTTGCAATTGCACCGATACTAGATATTTATTAGCCTGGTTTAATTTAGAAAATGCATTTGACTTCCTTATCTTAATATCATCATTGAGCCACTAAACAAGTCTCTTCCATCAGAGTTCCTTTGCTAGCTGTGTAATGGCCTAACATCTTTGCATCAAAGAATGCATTAAAACATCACCAAATACAAAATGTTTCATAGGAAAAAATGCATCATAATCATGTTAGAGACCAAAAAACCTGGGTTAATTATTATTATGGATCATACGAGAAACAGATCATGAAGCGTTTGAATGTTAAAATATATTGCAATCAAAAGATTTGCTAAGAGTGCTAAACGAACCTGGTTTAACGTGCTACGGTGCAATAGACTGCAGTAAGCTGTTAGTCGAACCTTTGGGCTTCACAAAATGGGCAAGAGTGACATCTGTCTTGGCAGTGTCAAAAACGCCCTCTCGGAAAGGGACCTCAAACAGCAAAGATTTGTATAAACAAACCTCGTCTTCCTTGCAATAGTAAATCTGCAAAGAATGAAAACATTGTTTCTTTTTTCACTGAATGTCTAATTATAGTGGTATAGAATAAATTCACTTTAGAATGAGGCCACTTTCTATAACATGATCAACAAAGGCTAAAGCAGCCAACGATATTTCTGACATTGGTCAACACTTCCTTGCTCGTTTCTGTTGAAGAAACAGACTATTTTTTTATAAGAATTCAACCAAGTCTTGGGTTCCAATTGAATCATACCTTGCAACTAATTCTTCCCATTGAAGCAGAGTTAGAGGATCTCTTAAAGTGAAGCACTGCAGATCCTTCCGGACTAAGGAGTCCATCCAGAGGATCGATATTCACAGCATCTTCAGGTTCAATATCGACACTGAATCTACTGCGAGCTTCCTGCAATGGAATTTTAAGTGCGGTTGTCCAATGAATTATAGTCGTGTTGTATGTAAAAAATTGAATTATAGTGTGTTTAAAAGAGAAAACAATGATGAGAACCTTTGAGAAATGATACTCATTTGGCAATGATATTTCAATCGACAAGTTTCCTTCCTCTGATGAAATGGCATCAATGGTAATTGGCACCGTGTCAGCAGTTGGTCGTCTCCTGAGGCGTTTAAAAGATTTTGATTTTGGTTTCGGAGGCTGAACTCCTTTAAGCTCCAAGGTACAAAGTTGAAATTCATTAGCGTTCAAATCTAGATATCGGATTAGGCTGTTGTTTGTATCGGCTATGAATAGTCTCCCTGTAAAAAGAATAAATAATAATTCTAAGACTGAGCTTATTTCAAACTTATTTCGTTTTTACCAAATAATTGGATCAAGGAATGAAACAAACATCCTTAAATTCTATGTATAAGAAGTAAACTTGCAAGACAAAAGGTAGTTTGTGAATATTATACTAAATCCATAATGAGATAACAATTAAAACAAGAAAAATGCTAGCAACATGGAGTACTATTTAACGCGGTCTTTAAAACACACTCCTCCTTATTAGTTGAAATTATTTACTCGAGTAAGAATAATTTTTACTCGAGTAAGAATAAGGCTGTTATCTAAGGTTTTCAATCTTACTACTGATTCGATAAAAATGATTGTGCTTCTGGATAAGGTTCCAGGTTCTGGTTCCAATTCTACAGTACATCACAAGTAGTTCTAAAGGGATAATGCGCATGTTTGTCACCAGTTTAAAACAAAAGATATTAGCAGGCTTTGTTAGTCATCAGGGTAAAGGTCAATCCAAGGATAGAATTGAAATTTCTCAAACAAAGTATGCCATGGACCTTCTTGAGGAAGCAAGTTTGATGAATGGGTTATCTTGTTAGATGTAAGAGAAAATCTTGACAATTTGGTTTCGCATGGATGCTCAAAGATCAAAAGTTACTTAAAAGTCGAATGACAATTTAAAAGTCATGATTTTATTCTTTACCATACATACATGAATATTCCAAAAGTTCAAATTTACTCATTCACACTTGTAGTAACGGTTGAAGTTATGGGTTTTAGATAAAAGAAATAATAAGAACTTCAAATAGTATTGATAGTAACTTGATACAAAAGACTAAATACTAATCCTAATTTATAGGGATACATGGGAAATTCAGAAGGAAAAAAATTAATATAAAAACTAATCCTAAGAGATAATATAAAATAATCTAAGATTATAAACTGATCCTAGGAAATAAAATCCAATATCAAAGATATTATAAGATATTTTCTTATATTATAATATAAGATATTTTCTTATATTATAATATAAGATATTTTCCTATAAATTAACAGTAGCACCATAATAATATGAACTGTAAAAGAAAAGTCATAATAATATGGTGCTTTTATTTTATATGCTTCTTATAGACACACCTACATGTGTCTTGACTGTCTATAATATGCATGCTGGCATGTGTGCGTGTATATATGTATCAACACAGTCAATAGATGTGCGGGTGGGCGGGTGGGCACAAGTATAGTATGTGTGTGATCTTCTCTTAGATTCATTAAGATTAATGTATGTAAACATTTACAAAAAAAAAATATGAAAGATTGCAGCAGAAAGAGCATTACCGTTGCTCCCTTCAACAATTCCTGATGGTTCAGAGAGCTGCAAAAACATTGATAAATAGTTAACATATATCCGTGGCTATGAGGTAAGCAAGAGTTTTTTCCTTGGTTCTGTTGATATTAATTTGCACAAGTATTTCAATTAAGAGCATATATAATATCTCTGCAAATGTGTGAGATAATAACAAAAGTTTGCAAATGTGTGAAAGCTTTCTTCAACGTCCTATTTTAGTACATCTACAACATTGTAGCTTCAAAATTAATAATAGTTCCACATTTACATGTACTAATGTGAAAGTGAAAAGGAATCAACAACAGTCTCTTAAATAGATGATTCAACATTTCAAAATAGTGTACAAACTTAAATTCCTATGTCTACACCTGGGGAGGATTTTGGTAAATAGGGGCACAAAATAACCTACCAACCTGAGCTGTTACGGCAATTCCATCCTTGAAACCAGCTTTCCCTGTTCCTGCAACAGTGCTAACTCTTTTACTGGTCGGATCTAACTTTTTGATCTGAAATATATTATTAAAAATGAGAAAAAGACTAGGAAAGTTAGTTACTGCAAGTACTCAGTTCTTGTCCAATTAACTTGTTAGTTTCTAAGTTGGTATGTCATGCATGCTCTCAAACATTCATTAGACAAGTTTGAAGACAAAATCTAACTCCGGAAAAAAAATATTTGTACAAGTCCTAACCAGGTAAATGGGAAACGAACTAGATACCTCTGTAAGATTTCATAGAAAAGGGTAACTACAGTATCTGATATATATACAGAGGCTATATTGATTTCAAAAGTAACTTGGTCTGAATTGTCTACCTTGTGATTGTAGCTATCCGTGAGATAGATTACACCATCCTTTCCACTCACAACCCCCAGCGGATGTTGAAGAAGTACTTCAGAGCCTATTCCATCTTGATCACCAAACTGCAAAAGTTTGAGAACATAGAGGAAGGTTATCAGGAAAAAGGAAGAGAAAGGTAATAAATATATGACAAATTGTTAAATATATGACACAAGATAAAATAGATTATTAGCGAGAAAACTGTGGTAAACCCCCATTGTGAAAAAGATGATTGAATCCCCTCTTACGTGGTTGTGGTGTATTGATAAGACCTATAAAAGCACCAATAAGGAGGGCTGACCAAATAGAGGATGGCCAACAGTTAGAGGTAGGCCTATCCAAAATAATAAATAGTGAAAAGTAGATGGAGACCAATGAAAACTCAAACCATCACGAGGGATTTATTCTGAACCTAATGCATAACAAGACTAAATGGTGCCAATTGAGATATGCAATCAACCCAATTGTGATATAGAAATTTAATTATAGAAGAAAATTAGTACATCGGGATGAAGGAAAAAAAATGCATATAATGGCTACTCAAATTGTTTTAAAACTACCTTAAACAAATTGTCCGAAAACATAGGATCACCACCAGCTAGCAAACGAGATCCTCCAGTTTTCAGATCAACAACTCGAATTGAACTACTCTCACTATCAGCTACGTATATCTCCATTAGACCTTGTGCAAAATCATGTGAAACATTTATAAGTATGAATGGATGTTGATTTAAATAAAGGTTCAAGAGAATAATCACTATGTGTTACCTTGAGACAGTGAAATACCAGACGGTTGTGCAAAGGATGTGCTTGTAGAACTATCTCAATTAAAAGAAAATGATAATTAAATAAATAATCAGAAGATTTTCCCATATTATAGTTGAAAAGTCAACAAATATAACACATGGAATAAACTAGACATAATATTTCAAAACCATAGTTCAACCAAAATACGAATACACATTTGTCTGTCTTAGAAATTTAAAGAAAAATATAACAATTTATTTCAAATCATTAACTGCCATATTTAAGATCAGCAACAACAATTTCTTAGAATGACGGTTTCAAATTCTCAAGCTATTGAAAGTGCTTCATGAAAAGAGTTATGCAAAGCCAAAATCCCCAACATATTAGAAAACACTCTAATGAAATTCAAGAGGAAATAAATTAATGAAGAGACCAATGTCTAATGGCTGCAATGGCTAGAAGAAGTCTAACAGATGCCATCTTGGCTACAGGCGAAAAGGTATCACTATAATCCAACCCAAAAATTTGAGTGTATCCTTTGGCTACCAAGCGAGCTTTAAATCGGTCAATCTTGCCATCTGGACCAACCTTCACTGTATAAAGCCAACGACAACCTACTAAAGGTTTTCTATGGGGTAGAAGAACCAGTTCCCAGGTACCACTGCTTTGAACAACACACATTTCATCAATCATTGCTTGCCTCCTCTCAGGGTGAGATAATGCTTCACCAGGAGTTTTAGGAATAGAAACAGAAGACAAAGAGGACAAACAAGTATACTGCAAAGGGGAAAGACGATGATAACATAAATCAATATAATGTGGAGAAGGATTTCGTGTTTGACGTATACCTTTTTGAAAGGCAATTGGAAGATCAGACTCAGGTTGCAGGATCGAATCCGGTGATGGCGAGAGCGTCGGAGGAGAGTCCATAGTGACCTCAGGGACAGGTACGACTTCAGGGACAGATACGACTTCAGAGACAGATACGACAGACTTTGGGTGACGACGCTGATATGTTTGAAGTGGGCGAGGAGTGAGGGGATCAACCGTAGGGGTAACTAGTGGGTCAGGTTCCCTAGAATGATGGAGGATACGAGTGGGTAACTAGTGGGTCAGGTTCCCTAGAATGATGGGGGATCAACCGTAGGGGTAACTAGTGGGTCAGATTCGAAGAAGGTAACAATCGGCGGATATGAGGTATCGTTGTAGATTATGTGAGTAGCAACGGTAACGTTTTTGGGATCGATGATAGCCAAGAAAGACACATTTTAGTGATCGAGCTGATTGTTTATCAAGACCAGGGGAGAGATTGTGTACAAAACACGTTGACCCGAAAGACTCGAGGAGGAATTGGGTGGAGTGAAGAGGCGAGTAGATCGGCAGAAAAACAGTCAGAATCAACCGCCGGACAAGCTGGGGCAGCGGCGGGAAAAAGGGCGACGACTGGATCGGAGGACAGCGAGTTGGATGGTGGGGTCGGTTTTTCGAAACGTCGTCGGAAGTTTTGCCGGAACTGTAACGGCGGCAAGGCATTTACCGGAGAATTTTGAAAAGTGAGAGGCAAACCGGAGTGACAACACGGTTTGCCAAAAAAAAAAAAGTTTTTCACTGGAAGACAGTAGGTCAACCGGGTAAAGTACGGCGAAGAAAGAATTGTCTTTTAGTAGGCTCTAGATACCATGTTAAGAAATGTGGTTGGGCCTAACTCAACCCTACAAAACCGGTTTTGTAGGGTTGAGTTAGGCCCAACCACATTTCTTAACATGGTATCAAGAGCCTCGTTTAAGATCCGGTGGGCCACCTTCTATGGTTTCCGTTATCGGGCCACCCACCATTTATTTTCATGTTTCAGTTGTCTAGTCCTGAGCGTGAGGGGGTGTGTTAAGAGTCTCACATCGGACAATATATGGTATGAACATGTGTTTATAAGTGGGGGCAATCCTCACTCTACCAACCGGTTTTGTAGGGTTGAGTTAGGCCCAACCACATTTCTTAACAATAACCATGAGACAATCTCTCTAATTCATTCCAACTACATTATAATAAATGATCATGATAAAGATCATACAATCATGATAAGATGGAATGTGAAAAAAAAGAATACTAGCAACATACTCTTTTTGACAAATGAATTGACTTTTTAAAGAATGAAGAACCATAAAGAATGTGTTCAAGAGCACATCAAACAGAGAGTATTCCTAGCATTCACCTGTTTAAACACTTTGAGTTCAATTTTAAATCTATCAGTGTCACTAATGATATAGCATTGAAGATATACACAGCGATTTTAAAATAGTAAGATATACACAATGATTACTGTCCACAAAAGAAAATTTAAAACTGTAAATAAAGTTTGACATCAATTAGGTGTATTGTCATTTGAAGTGATGATACCTTGATCCATTTAAATTTCTTTCATAGCCATCACCACTAAATGCTCTCGTAACTCCACTCAGTATATTGTGCTCCCATATCTGATGTTGACCAGCCATGGCAATATAAATCTTTTCTTCAAATGGATGATAACAGACATCCCAAGGTGAATTAAGGAGCTGGAAAAGGGAGAAAATTGAGGAATCTAACTGTGTCCATTAAAGAGCAATATCATATATAATGAAAAGACCATAATTAAAAACAAATTATTTGTGGTCCATCTTGGATTTAGCTATATATTATATGAATGTCACTCATCCTCAAAACTTCCAATTAATTTAATTACCTGTGTGTCTCCTTTTCCTCCTCCAACATAGTCAGAACCCTTGGTCCCATTTCCAGCAAGAGTACGCACTTTCTCATTAGCAAAATCAATTTCCCTTTAGAACAAAAATAAACGAGTCAATGACTGATCCATGCTCATGTGTAGACAGCTTGTAACACAGTTAATGACTACCCCAAAATTGTGTTCGTTAAATCACGCAGGAATTTTTTTCACTTTTTACGGATGAAATCACATGCCAATCAGTAATTTTGAAGCAAACATGTCAGAGATCAGAAAATAAGGAACTCGGAAAATGGTGTATTACTGAAGAAAGGAAATGTATTACAAAAGATTGAATGTGTAATACCCCGGAGCAATACTCCTTTCCACAACTAAAAAAATCCCAAAAAATCACCCTTCCTCCTCCACTATAGGTCTTCCAAACCCATAACGAAGTTGGAATGGACCAACTAAATCCTAAAGCCTCACAAGACATGGAATATAGTTCACGTCAAAGATCTCTTAACTGATTTATCTTATAATATGGATTTAGCATCTAACTCATTCCCCACAAAACTGAGATGTGAAGGTCCAAGCTCTATAAGCACTACTTAGGTCATGGCTTTAGTTGATGTGGAACTTGTAACAGTTTCCCTGATTAACTAAACCTACCAATGAAATATGCATTAAGCCCATGTGCTGTCTCATAGACCATGACGGCAATGAAAATCATACTACTGAGTGAAGCTGTCCTGTACCTCAAAGCATGGTTTTCGGTGTCCGCAACATAAAGGATATTTTTCTTTGCATTATAAGCAAGACCCTGGAGAACCAAGAACCACAAAAAAGAGTATGGAGTTAAATTGACTTCAATCCTCATATGATGAATGCCACAATTAAGCAAGAATAAAATACTCTAGAAGCTCAAAGGCTTCTTATAAATGTACCTGAGGGCGATTAAAGGTGGCTTCATCAAAGGAACCATCCTTCAAACCTTCCTCCCCACTGCTCCCAATTTGTACAATAAAATTCCCATCAAGGTTGGTTACCACCTGAATACCAAACATGACCAGAGTAAACAAATGCAACTTACTTTTAAAATCAAAAGAAAAATAAATTATGTATAGTGAATTGTCAAAATAAACTATGATGATTTGACATTAGAAGTATAATACATAGCAACTTGGGATTTAGAGCTTTAGAGTTAAATTGGTTTTATTTGGCTTTTCAATTTTTAATTGTTAGCAATGTGGGAAGTTTGGGTTTAGTTTATCTGTTCTTGGAATATCGTATCAATTGTTGATAGTTCTGTATGGATTTTATGACGGAGACAGTGATGATGAGAAACATATCTTAAAAAAAAATCCTAGCAGCGCCACTTGAGATGAAAGACTTTCTTGGGAAGGTTTCCTATCTTAGACAAGGTGTCTTTTAACTCTATCTCTCAACTGAAACATGTTCTTGATCTCCTTAAAGAATTGGGTAAGTTGGGTTGTAAAGCCACCAAGGTACCACTTGAGCAGAATCACTAAATTCAAAGTGATGATGAGAGTTTATACATGGCGAAGACACAATATCAAAGATTAGTAGGAAAACTCGTATATCTAGCACATACTAGGCTAAACATAACTTATGCAATAAGTGTTGTAGTTGTATTGACAAAGGGGCTTCCCTTCTAATGGTTCTGAGATCTTAATGGTAAACTGAGCCCTTCCATTCACCAGCTTAAGAGGAAGTGTTATGTATCTCTTGATTTTCTTTCCTCAATCTGTACAGTTTCATTGTTTCTATTTTTATTTGTACAGCTGTATTTCCTAATTAGAAATGATATTCACTTTTTCATCCCTTGCAAATATAATAAGTGATGTTAAAATATTGTTACAGATATTTAAATGAGATGTTAACTTAGAAACTTCAGTCTAATTACTTCATTATTGTACTAAGTAAAACCTGTTATGTACCAAGTGTTCGTGGGCAGAACACTCACTATGCGGTTGTGATTGCTGTCAGAAATAAAAAGCCTGTTGTTGAGGACATCAATAGCTAGCTTTCCGGGAAACTTCAATGGTGATGTCAATAGACGAGGATCATTATCTTTCTCTAAATTTAATGTAATCGGTGTATTGTCCAACATGTTCTGTTTTCCATAAAATAGAAGTGCCGCCGCCACAAAATCATCAAGATCCTAATTCAAACAGGAACAGTAGTGGTCTTACTTTAATCAGCCCACTAATTAATCAATATAACAAAAATGGCTACTTGCATCAATAGAGATAATTGGACGTCATTCAAAAATCAAATTTTATAATCAATATTAGATAGAAATGATAAAGCAACAAAAATTGTAAACAACTTTTTTACTCACTTGTATACATTTTAAGAACAACTTTTTTTTACATTCGCAAAAATCAGAGTTATCGATGGCAGCCGATGTGGCGCTATCCCGGGAGAGGAGAGCAGCGCGGAGGCCAACCACTATGGCATAGCAACTCACATCTCAATTTGAGATCGCGGCCGCTTTTTGGCTTGAAGCGGGGCGCGGGAACGGAGCGCTTCCCGGCCCGGAGCGGGTTACAACCCGCTATCTGTTTTGACCGATAAAAACCATATTTACCCTTAAAAAAATAAAGTTGGAGGAGTTTTTCCTTAGTTTTGCCTAGTTTACCTTAACTCAGAAAACTCCTAATGTGTTTCTCACTTCTCATCGTCTTCTCACTTCTCACGTGTTTCTCACTTCTCATCGTCTTCTCACTTCCTCACACGTGTCTCACTTCTCACCGTCTTCTTAGTTCCTCACGCGTTTCTCACATACTCTTAACATTTCTCCCTTCTCATCATCTACTCATTTTCTCATGCGTTTCTCACATCATGGTTCAAATGAGGTGAGGAATTTTAATAGAGGGAGAGGAAGAGGAAGGGGGAGGGATTTCTTTTAATTATGTGGAATAATCAATACAGAATCAAATGATTTTGTTTGTAAAGCTCATTAGAATTAGGACTAATGTAATTAATTTATTTCCTGTTTTTACTGTAATTAGAATTAGCATTTATGGGAAAATTAACTCCCCTAATTTCTAGGACAGATTTCCCTTTCAAATTCTGCCTTATGTATTCTATAAATACTGCTATGTAATTCTCATAAAATACAAGAAAATATAAAATATATTTCTACATGGTATCAGAGCACGATCTGAACCATCCCTAACCTAGCACCGCCAAACTATGGAGGATCCTAAATCTGATGAATCGCTCAAAGGAAAAGAAAGGGAAGGCTACACCACGGGAGATTCTAAATGTCCTGCGGAAGGAGACAAAAATTTCAGAAATGGAAACTTGAGAACAGCCAAGTAATGTCATGGCTGCTCAATACCATGAAAAACAAAATTGGTGAAAATTTCATGTTCTATGACACTGCAAAAGAGATATAGGATGCAGTGAAGGAAACGTACTCAAATGTTGACAATACATCTGTCGTATTTGAGATAAAAAGCATTCTTCATGACCTTCGACAAGGAGAATCTTTTGTTACCGAGTATTTTAACATACTTAACAAACACTGGCAGCAACTGGACATATATGAAGAGGTTACATGGTGTTGTACAGAAGATAAAAAGAAATATAAAGAATTGGTGGAAAAAGATAGGATTTACAAATTCCTATTGGGACTAAACAAGGACCTAGATGAAGTTCGTGGAAGGATCCTTGGAACCAAACCACTTCTCAAAATTCGAGAAGCCTTTTCAGAAGTGAGAAGGGAAGAAAGCAGGAGGAAAATCATGTTGGGGACACCCAACTCAGTTCCGCACAGCGAGAGCTCTGCAATGGCAGCAAGGGGGAATCAGCCTCGACCATCACAAAAGAAAAACCGCCCCTGGTGTGATCACTGCAAGAGACCAGGCCACACAAAGGAAACATGTTGGATCATACATGAAAAACCTTCGGAGGCAAAATTGTTCAAAGGCAAGGAGGGCAGAGGTAACACAGCATTTAACAACCAAGAAGCTGAGGTATACTCTAACTCATCTCCTTTTAGCAAAGAACAAATGGAGGCTCTTCAAAAACTCCTTCAGCAAACTATGTTAACCATAGAAAAAGGTGGTACTACTGTAATGGCTCAAAGAGGTAATTATTTACATGCTCTAAACACTAGTAAAGAAAAAACAAAATCATGGATTGTTGACTCAGGGGCCTCAGATCACATGACTGGGGATTTCACCCTGTTTAATAGTTATTCTCCATGTCCCTATAACTATAATGTTCGAATAGCCGGTGGTACATATTCTAAGGTCATGGGTAAAGGATCAATTATAATTTCACCAAATATTACTCTTGACCCTGTTTTGTATGTGCCTACACTTGATTGTAACTTGCTGTCCATTAGCAAGATTACAAGAGATTCGAAATGTGTTACTAAATTCTTCCCTAACTTGTGTGAATTTCAGATTTTGGAGTCGGGGAAGACGATTGGCAATGCTGAAGAGTGTGCTAGACTCTACTTCCTCCAAGTGGAAAAATCAGAGAAAAAACTCAATAATAACTATCATGTTGCAGCTGCAGTTTCAAATGATAATAATTTTGTAATGATGTGGCCCTATAGATTAGGCCACCCAAATTTCATGTACTTGGAAAAGATTTTTCCCTCGTTATTCAATAAAAACAAGAAACATTTTCAATGTGAAATCTGCCAATTGTCTAAACATACCCGAAACCATTACCCACCCCAATCCTATAAACCATCCAAACCTTTTTCATTAATTCATAGTGATGTATGGGGACCATCACGAGTCTATAACATTACTGGCTCGAGATGGTTTGTCACCTTTATTGATGATCACACACGTGTTACATGGGTGTTTCTAATGAAGGAAAAATCAGTAGGGAGAATATTTGAAATTTATCATAAGATGGTACAAACACAATTTCAAAGCAATATTCAGATACTTAGAACTGACAATGGTCGTGAGTATTACAACCTTGCTCTAAATTCCTACCTTCAAAAGGTTGGAATTGTTCACCAAAGTTCGTGTGTGGACACTCCCCAACAAAATGGAGTAGCAGAAAGGAAGAATAGACACCTTTTAGAAGTGACTAGATCAATCATGTTGGCCACAAATGTCCCACAACACTTTTGGGGAGAAGCTGTCCTTTCAGCAACTCACCTTATAAATCAAATGCCTTCCCGTATCCTTAACTTTAAGACCCCACTCTCCACACTTCAAAACCTATTTCCAACCAGCAAAATCTTTTCCTCTATTCCATTAAAAATATTTGGATGCTCAACTTTTGTCCATAACCTCAACCCTCACCGAAGCAAATTAGACCCAAAATCCATCAAATGCATTTTTCTTGGTTACTCTCCTCACCAAAAGGGTTATAGGTGTTACTCTCCCCATACCAAAAAATTTTACCACACTATGGATGTAACCTTCTTTGAAAATCAGCCCTATTACACCAAAACTGGTATTCAGGGGGAGCAATCATACATACATCGTATTGAAAATTCAGAATACCAACTTTTGTCTCTTGAACTAACCGAACATGGAAAAATCTTACCAGACCAAACCGGTAACACTCAATCAGCCGAACCTATGCCTAAACCAGCTGAAAAATTACTAAACCAAACCTCTAACATTCAGCCGAGTGAAAGGACAACAGAAGCTGTGACGGAAACCGGACCAATTATAGTCTCAACCACACCTCAACAAAATTGTGATCCAAAAACAGGTAACTGGAATGTTTATAAAAGGAGGAGGAAGGAAGTAGAGTCAAGTATAGCTCCAATGCAAGGCCATGAGTCCAACCAAGCTCTAGAAAATGAAGTTCCCACCGGTAATATTCTCCCTAACTCTGAACATATTGTTACAAATACAGCAGATATGGATATTCCTATTGCTATGAGAAAAGGGGTTAGAACATGCACCAAACACCCTATTGAAAAATATATCTCCTATGGAAAACTATCACAAAGTTACAGGTCTTTTGTAGCAGCTGTTGACAACATAGAAATTCCAAATAATATTCAAGAAGCATTGCAGAAAGCTGAATGGGCAGCAACTGTAACAGAAGAAGTTCAAGCACTTGTAAGAAGTGGCACATGGGAGATCACCGCTATACCAGAAGGGAAGAAAACAGTAGAATGCAAGTGGATATTTTCAATTAAGTACAATGCTGATGGGAGTATAAATAGGTACAAAGCTCGGTTGGTTGCTAAGGGGTTCACACAATCATATGGGGTGGATTATGAGGAGACTTTCGCACCTGTTGCGAAGCTCAATTCTGTTCGGGTTCTACTATCTCTGGCAGCAAATCTAGATTGGCCCCTGTACCAACTAGACATAAAGAATGCATTTCTAAATGGTGAGTTAGAAGAAGAGGTATATATGAAAATTCCTCCAGGACTTGAATCACCCGAGACCTCCAACATGGTGTGTCGACTTCGAAAATTTCTATATGGCCTCAAACAATCACCAAGGGCATGGTTTGACAGACTAACAAAAGTTGTCAAGCAAGATGGTTTTGCTCAATGTCAAACAGACCATACTATGTTTGTCAAGCACTCTTTGGATGGGAAGATAGTTTTGTTTATTGTCTATGTTGATGATATCGTAATTACGGGAGATGATGATGAACAAGTCAGCCAGTTAAAGAAACTTCTAGTCAAAGAATTTGAAGTCAAAGACTTAGGACAGCTCAAGTATTTTTTAGGGATGGAAATTGCACGGACAAAGAATGGTATTTCAGTTTCTCAAAGGAAGTACACTTTGGATTTACTTCAAGAAACAGGTATGCTTGGATGCAAAGCTGCCAATACTCCCATAGAACAAATAAAAAGGAGTGAAGATGAGAATATACCAGCTAATAAAGATAGATACCAAAGTTTAGTTGGAAAACTAATCTATCTAACTCACACCAGACCAGACATTGGTTTTGCTGTAAGCATGGCTAGTCGTTATATGTCAAATCCAACTGAAACTAACATGAGAAATGTTAACAGAATTCTCCAGTACCTAAAAGGTACGCCAGGTCGAGGACTCTATTTTCAAAAGAACTCAAACAGAGGTATTGAAGTCTACACTGATTCAGATTGGGCAGGATGTTTATCTGACAGGAAATCGACTACAGGCTACTGCACATTTGTATGGGGTAATATGGTAACTTGGAGAAGTAAGAAACAGTCTGTTGTGGCTAGGAGTAGCGCAGAAGCAGAATTCAGAGCTATGTCACAAGGTATTTGTGAAGGAATTTGGCTTAAGCGAATGCTAGGTGAAATCAAAATTCCTACCAAACATCCTATGAAGATATTATGTGATAACAAGGCTGCTATAAGCATTGCGAAGAACCCAGTTCAGCATGATAGAACAAAGCATGTAGAGATAGACCGACACTTCATCAAGGAGAAAATTGATCATGGAATTATAAGTGTTAACCATATTCCATCATGCCAACAAACTGCAGATATTCTAACAAAAGCCCTTCCAAGTAACATATATGAGAATATCATATCCAATCTGGATATGATAGACATCTACCACCCAGATTGAGGGGGAGTGTGGAATAATCAATACAGAATCAAATGATTTTGTTTGTACAGCTCATTAGGATTAGGACTAATGTAATTAATTAGTTATTATTTCCTGTTTTTACTGTAATTAGAATTAGCATTTATGAGAAAATTAACTCCCCTGATTTCTAGGACAGATTTCCCTTTCAAATTCTGCCTTATGTATTCTATAAATACTGCTATGTAATTCTCATAAAATACAAGGAAATATAAAGTATATTTCTACAAATTATTTATATATATATATATATATATATATATATATATATATATATATATATATATATATATATATATATATATATATATATATATATATATATATATATATATATATATATATATATATGGTTTAAAAGAGGAAAAGCGGAGGAGAAGAGAGAAATTTTCATTAAAAATATGTTTGGTCAAGGGAAGAGATTTTATTAATGATTTACATTTTTGTTTTTATGATCTTATATAAGTCAAAGATATTCAAAGTTTAAAATTTCATAAATGTTTTTTGAGTAATAAATATACATAAATAAACACAACATTTCTAATGTTCAGGGATTAAAAAAGTTGTAACTTATTATATAACGTTAAAAATAATTGAGTACACTTCATTCAGATTATTACCCACCGACACAAATTGTTTAATTTATGGATAACAAAATAACAAAAATATATATATATATATATATATATATATATATATATATATATATATATATATATATATATATATATATAAACAAAAAAATAAAATGAATTGTTTTAAATTTGATTTAAAAAATATATAATACATAACAAAATTAGGAGAAAAAACAAACCTAAATAAATATAAAAATAAAAAGTTATTAAAAAAACAAAAATGTGCGTATAAAAATTAGAAAATAATTTAAAGGTGGAGAACAATTATAAAAATTAATAGAAGCAATAAAAAAACCACACAAAAGACAATGAATAATTTTAAAATACTAAAATAAAACTAATAATATTTTAATAAATATAATAATTTTTAAATATCATAATTTATATTTCCTCCGTTCTCCTCCAAATCCCTGATTTAAGTGAAGGGGTTTTACTTCCCTTCCCTCCTAAAAATTGAACCAACGTATTTAATTAAAAATATTTTCTCCCCATCTCCCCCTCCATCTCAAACAGACCCCTATTTGTCTTCTTTATTTACTCTTTTTTATTTAATAATAATAATTGATTTTTATTGTATTTACGGGCATCATCACATTTGAAAATTTGGAGATTCCAGATTTTTATATAGGAATTGATTTTATGCGCCAAATGTTTTCCCTCCTTATCATTATAGTCCTACACGAGGTACTTCTCGGTAATTTTATGTTTCACCCTTGAGAAAGTGATGTTATGAAACAAATGGATTGAAATGTATATCTTAAAAAGTTGTCAAGTCCATTAAAGTTAATATAAAGTCCATTAAAATTAATATCTTTTCGTATTTTCCTTATTTTATTTTATAAATGAAAGGCTTTAATATATTTATTTATTTTATTTAAAAAAATGACAATGTTAGGTTTTCCTGCACATGTATTAGGGAAGAGTCTTCGTTAACGAGGATGGATAACTATTGACAAAAATCAAAACTTCAATAAAGTACATAAATATAGTTTAATCCTTTAGTATATGTTAAAACGTGCCAAACAAGAGTCTATCCAAGATCTGTTGGGCAACTATTGTAGACTCGGTCCTTACCAATCTATTTTTTTGACAACTCAAATTCAATGATAGTATGCTTATTATTGTCGTTGATGAGATGATTTTTGCCCAAAACTATCACTCCCAGTTTGTAGGCCCATAAACCATGTTAACTTTTAGGAGAATTGAAACTATTTATCATATGGCTACGGAGCATGTTCCACCTCATCCCCAAATATCCATAGTCACATTTTTGGTTTTGAAATTATGGAAAATAATAAATGCAACGTAAATGTTATATATGCAAGACCTTTAATGCATATAATCCCATTAATTTTTAAAATAAGAAACCTGCAGAGGAGACTAGAGGTTGTTCTCAGTACCTTCCTGTGACCTTCTCCAGCAAGTTGAGCAAGGAGCTTACCGTTGGGGCCAATGATAGCAAATGTTGGCCATGAACTTATGCCTAACTTCCGCCAAAAGTACATGTCTCCATCATTGACAACCTACAAAGGATGCACAAGAAAAGCCGTTAACAGATTTAAAACTCAAAGCAAAGAACCAATCCGATGAAAAAATGACATAACTATTAGACAGATTGTGGAAATAAATAAGACAGTTTCAATTATAGCAAGTATGGATTAAACCAAACAAGTCACATACCTATGCCCTAAAAGAGAGTTCTCTCTCAAAACATACAATCATAATTTATAAAACTACCTACTTATAAAAATAACTGACACCCAAACATATAGAAATTAAAGTTTAGAAAGCATATAGTTGTTTTCGTAACCTAGCTTCCTGATGCAATAAGTATATATTACTGACCTCCTAGTCTAAATACACAATAAATAATTGCCTTGTCATAAATGACCAAAAGAGGATGGGCTCTTCAATAACCAAAGAGAATCAAAATTGAAAATATTTACAAAAATGTAAAACTTTTCAGAAAAAGAAAATATTAGTTGAGTTCCAACTTCAGGCTTACCGGGTGAGTGATGTCATAGCGTAGAACCGCATTGCGGATGGCTTCAGAATCTTTCTCATTATCAAACTTTGCAGAATGAACACCCACAACAACAAACTGGGAGATAAAACTTACATCAAAATATATAAATTCTAATTCTGTGTTGGGGGATATGATATAAACCCATTCCTAAAGTCAAATGGTAAATAGACAACTAACTTATTTTTCATATAAAAAAATTATTAAATAAACAAGAAAAATATACAAAAATTTGAAGTTCATGCATTAAAGTACCACCAAATAGGTATGACAATTTTTATAAAGCATAGCCGTACAATCCATACATCAATATACATTTGATAATCAAAATATTCATACATGAAATTACCGGCATATCTTTGTATTTTTTCTCCAAAGCATCTAGGTCTGGCAACACATGCATACAGTTTATACAACAATAAGTCCAGAAATCGAGCAGAACAACTTTTCCTTTCAGATCCTGCCAAAAGAATGAATGAAAAATGAAAAATCTAATGAACACGGATATTTTCATCAGTTTAAAATTCAGACTGAATACAAGAATAAAAGTACCCTGCGAAACTGAAGTGGAGCTGTATTTAGCCAATCAAGTTTAGACGGAAATTCTGGAACAAGCTGAGCATTTTCCCTTAACAGTGAAAAGAATTTAATTGTAGCATATTAATAACAATTAGCTTTGTGCTTACAAGCTACAACTGTTTCTCTTTCCAAAGAGGAGGAAATACTTATAATTTCACACCCACAGTCACAAACAGACAATGTCCTCTCTGTGGTATATCATTTGATAATATCGATAAAACACAGTTATCTATTGTAAAATTTGAGTATAAGGTTAGACTTCAAACCATAAAAAAAATAGCCATAGAGAAAGAAATATATCAAAGTACTAAGCAGTAATCACCTGTTCTCCAGATCAGCTATGTATTTCACAAATTGCGGGATCCTATCAAATTTTGAGTTGCCTGAGAACAAAAGGCGAATAATATATGGCTCTTATTTTATCTTTAAGTATGACTAAAATATTGATGAAAATAACCAAGAGAGCCAATACCATCATAATTGACTAGAGTCTCAACTTATGTACTAGTTAAGTATCGAAAAAGTTTCATTTGTGCTACCTAGTTGAGCAAGCTCTCGGCTGACTTTTTTGTCATGACATAAAGTTTATCCAACATTCTCAAGTTTTGGATTGAGTAGTCCTTTAAAATTCAGTTATACGTAGCACCATCAACAGACAACAGCCATAAGATAGGAAAGTAGATAAATGCTGGAAGCCTATAATAGCAGAGAAGACTGTTTCCCCAGCACATCATTGGTTTATTACCTGCTTTATACTCCATGGGTGGCTGGGTAACACCAAATAACAGATTCCAAACAGCTTGGGGGGAAGAATATTGCATTGCCTGTAGCATAGTAGCAGTTAGCCAATTACACATGACTGAGCTCTAGATTAAAAATTTAAGGTTCAATATAATGTGAAAAATATATTTTGCATCATATTCATGCAATATTATTGTACCTTCCAGTTATTTAAGGCGAAGACAAAGCAAGAGATAGCAATCCCAAGACTTCCAAATCTCAGTATATCTCGCCGCGAACCCTGCAACCTGCCCAGAAATTATTTCTGCACCCTCACAATAGTAATTCAACAAAAACTTATGGACAACATATCACAATGATAAATATTTCCGTGGTATAAATTACATAAACGGGAAAGCAATTATTCATCAAATAGGAGAATGGCATCAACTTGTGGTAACATGATAGCTTAGGGGAATTCTTCAATAGGTAGCTCATGAATCACTTTCTTAACAACATAAAAATCAAATATTAAGCTTCGATTTTAAATCTAGAAAGATATGACAAATTGTTGTATAAGCTTAAATTCTCTACTACTAGTTATGTTATGTATGCATTGCCAACACCACAATAGCTGGTTAAAAAAGCAATGCAATTGGTTCTAAGATTGCTTACCTTGTAAACTCATGTTTCAAGAAAATGTTGGGATTTTGGAAGATAGAATGAAAAGAAAAAGCAGACAACAAAATCTGGCTTACCCTCCAGTTGAGCGAGTTTCCTCATCAGTACTGCTGGCAGTTCTTCCATTTCTGTCATCTATTATTCCCGCAAGCACATCAGACGAAGACTGAGCAAAACTATTTGGAGTTTCAGAACCTTGCATCCTCTTATCTGCAATGGCATTTCTATATAAGACCTAATGCAACATACTATTTGTACTCTTTATCAAACAACAATGGTTAACTCTTCTGAATAAAGATACTTCCTCCGGACTCAAATATAAACAAAAATAATCAAATGCACACTGATTAATAGTATAAGTTAATATCATTTAAGATTCTTGATGTAATAAAAAATAATAATTGTATGCCCCAAACTACTATTTCTCTTTATTTACATTACTATTGTTTCGTAAATAATTAATTCAAGGATATTTTGGGAATGACAACATTAAATATGGTAAAGTTAGTTGGATTTTGCTTATATATGAGATCATCAAACATGATTTTTTTTTGTGTGCTTATATTTGAGTCTTGAGGAAATAAACATTGATAAAAGAAACAAAAATATAATGTGAAGTAATATAAGAAGGCACACATTTTGCAATAAGGGATAAAGACTAGTAATACCTGGAGTACCCATTGCTCAGAGTTTTTTTTATTTATACAACAATATAGTTTTACCATTTTACATTTCCATCAAAGACAATAAAGAAAATTCAAAGCAAAATGATAGATTTACAACGAACTCCCAAGACTACATACTATATCCAATAGAGTCGCCATTGAGAACATCATCTAGTGAAATACTTCCTATGTCATCTCGGATAAAAGTTGGGCCAGCAGGCTCCAAAGCTTCATCTGACAATGTGGTCCTTACAGCTATGCATCTGCAAACAATAATAGTGACACCGCATAAGTATTTTTTATTTCTATTCTCATAAGTCCATAAACGTAGGTAACTTTGGAGTCTAGAAATTAGTCGGGTTTCGTAAGTTCAAGCAACCATTATAAAGCATTTTCTTCGATGCCAGGGACACAGTTCAGTGCTTACCTCATTTGTGCAGCTTTGGCAGCTTGCACTCCCGCTAGCGCGTCTTCTATAACAATACACTGAGAAAACATCTAAGATTACTTTCTGACACATAAATGGAAATGCAACCATTCTTTTACTTGAGTAATTCAAACTTGCTATTATATTAATGAAAGCTCTGGATTAAAATTAATGGATGCAAAGTCATTACTTATGGGATTGAGTGAATTAAACTCAGTCTACTCAACAAGTTACTCCATAATCTATATGCATCTTCATATATAGTACCAGTTTGAGATGCAGAAATGGTTAAGGTTAACATGAAAGAAATTCAATTCAATTTTCTGCATAGCACTATCAAACATTCAAAAAAAGATTATTGTCTGAAAATGGAGTACCAGCCTACTATTCTTTGAAGTACGTGCGTATTAATTATTATATAACCAACAGCAGTAAAACACAGCTACTCTATGAAAATCAACCATAACTTAACTTAGGCCTCTAATCACATGTTTAGTCTAGTATCATATACCTCACTGGGGGCAACATTCAATATCCTTGACGCAGCTAAGAAAATGTCAGGAGCCGGTTTCAAATTCTCAAAAGCATCTGCAGAAACGATTGCATCGAACCTGATAAAATAAATACAACTGCAAAATTATAACAACCTTGATAGACAACAAATTATAATTGAAGTCAATCTTATGAAGCAAGGCATAAAATGCAATAGAAAATATATTCCGTTTGCATTTCATTTAAATTAAACATATAAGTATAAAAACTTAGTATATAATAAGCAGTGGACTTACAGCTCATCTTGGAGTATTTTGTTTTAATTTGTCAGTTCGGTTATAATATTGAAGAGTTTGCATAAAAATTTCAAAAAGAAAATAGCAATAGTATATACTACTACAAATTGTCAATCTAGTTTTTAGGTCAATATCTCCATGCACATTCAACAAATCACTCAGAATGTTGGCTTACATTGACAATGGCAAACCAGCGGCAGCTAGATTTGCATCAACCTTTATTCGATCGGCACTAGATGCAACAGCCACTTTAAGCCCTTTGCTTTTACACTGTCAAATACCAGCACATCCTATATTAGTCGCTCCATGAATCAGCAAGGTAATCAAATCGCGACAAATCTCACATACCTGAGAAACTAGTTCAAGGGCACCTGGAAATCCTATTCCCGAATCCGGTTTCGCATACTGAAACAAACGAAAACACGTTAGGGTTTAACCAATATATAAATTAAAAGAAAAAAAAAAGTGGCAACAAGTGAACTATACACCTTTTACCTTGTCCAGATATATTTTAAAGAACCTCTTCTTTAGATCTTCAGTATTGAATCCTTTAACTCCCTTAACAGAGGCAACTCCTCCCAAAAAGTTTGCTTCTCCTTTTCATGTTTAAAATGAAGCAATGAAATATTATAAGCTTAATAATCAAATAAGCAACTCAATAAAACAATAAGTAGCCTAAGGACTTGTGTATAATTTACTGCTATAAAAAAAGATAAAATAAGTTATAAGCTGTTTTCATAAATAATCTACAAAATTGAGCTGAAAACAGTTTTTTATCATATGATAAGCCGTTTGCATATGCTCTTTCAAATAGTGTACCAGATTTAAAGAAATGGAAACATAATTAAGCTCTTATAACTTAATTTAATTAATTGTTTGATACTCTGTATACTCAAACTCGACCTAATTACCAATTGCTAGTTGATCTAGTGGTGATTGACCCTGATTATTTGAGGGAGTATGACCATGGTTCGATCCTCACAACTGCGATCAGGAGGGACTGGAACCATTTAGTTGGTCCATTTAGTCGTCCGGTGGACCGGATACTCATACCGGTGGTGAAAACACAAAGAAAATACCTAATTAATTTTATTATCCAATTATTAATTAATTAATTAATTTCTGTTAACTGCCAAAAGACTTTGGGTAGTTAAATTTCAACCGTACCAGTTCCGGTGAACGGCACAAAATCGTCGACGGTGACTTGAACGCCGATCTCAGCGAACACATCAACAGCGGCTCTTCTAGAAGGTTCTTCACTGTTGCAAAGCACACCGTCCATATCAAACAACACAGCAGAAACCTTCCCCCACGCTTCGGATTTTCCAGCAATGCTCTTCTCTTCGACGTTAATCGCGCAAGCTTTGACCGCAAGTCTCGGCGTCAAAACGAAACGTTTCGGTTGGCGGTGGAAGAGTCGAGAAGGTTTGGTGAGCCGGCTGAGATTGGAGGAGACGAGGAAGTTGATGTGTCGTGTTTCGAAGGCCATGGTAGTGGTGGTGGCGGCCATGGCCATGGTGGTTCTCAACTAACTCAACTGATTCTATATTTTATTTTATTTTATTTATTACCAAATTGATGCAATGTTTTTGAATTTCTTGCTCGGATTGTACGGTAATGGTGGGGAGGGAAATGCCAGCGAAGAAATTTTTAAGTTTGCCTTATCTGCTTCGTGGCCACAACAAATACTTCATTTTTTCTTTTGGATTTTCATGGTGTATTTTTTTTTTTTTTTTAACTTTCTCCGGTTTTTATTGGAAGTAATTCACATTCTCGTATTTACTACTGTTTTTACAATTAGTAATTACGGTTAAATGAATTTACATTTTTATTAATTGTAAATTTGCATTTTATTAACTTTGCTTAAGCTCAATTGTAGTAGATAGAGTGAGATCAATAAAGATTCATCTTTAACCTTTTTTAAAGTGCGTGCATTATTGGAGTTTCACATTTGAACTTTAATAAATTAATATTTGGAGTTTCAGTTTTGATTTAAAGAGAAATTTAAAGAGAAACACGAGTATATGTGAGGTGTGTGTTTGATTTTGTTCCTCAAATTCACACTGAATTGAAGATCGAAATCGAAGATAATCATAATCTTGATTCTCAGGGCTAGGGCAAATACAAGTGTTGGTGAGAATTGAGCAATTTTCACAAGAACAAAAATGAACGGTGGAAACGGTAGCTTGAATACAAAACTCCCAGTATTCGATAGAAAGAATTGGAATTGGTGGACGATTCAAATGTGCGTGTAGAAAACGCAACAGAAGCGCAAAGAAGTACGCAATGTGAAATGAGGAAGAGGGATCTGAAAGGATTGTTCTACATTCACCAATGTGTAGACACGAAAAATGTTTGAGAGAATTGTCTATTCAACAACGGTGAAGGCGGCGTGGGATACACTTGTGCGGTGTTATGGCGGTGACGCATAAATAAAGAAAGTAAATTTGCAGTCCCTACACAAGCAATACAAGAAACTAAACATGAAAAACAATGAAAATGTGTTTAATTACATCTCAAGAGTGATTGTGGTGACGAATGAGATGAAGTATTGTGGAGAAACGCTCTCTGAACAAGTAATCATTGAAAATATACTAAGATCACTTACTCCTCAGTTTAATCATATTATGGTAGCCATAGAACACTTGAAAGACACTAGCATCATGAGAATTGAAGAGTTGCAACGTAGTTTAGAAGCACAAGAATTGTGTCTAGCTGAAAGAAACTATGAAAGGGAAACAAAACAGGCTCTTAAAGCTTTTTTTGTCAAGAAGAGCAACAATGATAATCTCAAGTGGAAGAACAAGAAACAAGCATGGTTGGAAACAAGAAAGTGAATGATGGTGGTGTTCAGAAGTCAGAATTCTCCAATCAAGGTGAGAAGAGACATAAAAATGTTCAGAAGGGAAATGATAAGTTTGATAAGAGAAAGGTCAAATACTATAATTGCAATAAATTTGCTCACTTTGTTGTTAAATGTTGGTCAAACAAGGAAAACAAGAATGAAGAGGCCAACATAGCTATAGGTGATTCAGAGGAAGAACTTGTGTTGCTGATAGTGACAGAAAATGATGTTGAAATAATGGTAGATGGTATTGAGCATAAAGTGACTGCTCCATACACACCACAACACAATGGCCTTGCTGAGAGGAGAAACATAACTTTGCTTGATATGACAAGGAGTATGTTGAAGAAGAAAAACTTGCCTCACACATTGTGGGGTGAACCAATTTCCACTGCAACATACATTTTTAACAGGTGTCCAACAAAGCATATGATAAATGTGATTCCCCTTGAAAAATAGACTGGGAGAAGACTAAGTATTGGTCATCTCAAGGTGTTTGGATCCTTATGTTTCAAACATGTCTCTGATGCCACTAGAAGGAAGTTAGATGATAAAAGCAATATTATATTGTTTGTAGGTTACCACTCCACAGGTGCCTACAAACTCTATTGTCCTGTCACTAACAAGATTGAAATTAGCATAGATGTCCTGGTAAAGGAATCAGAAGCATGAGATTGAAGCAAATCTCAACCCAATTATAGTGTTCTGACAATATTGGAAATAAGAGATGATGATGCATGAATCACTAATAATGAGGCAGCACCAGATAATGAAGTACCAGATGGTGAACTATAAGATGAACACCATTTTGAAGATGAATCAGAAGGCGAGGACAATAGTGAACTAGTGCAGATCCATAAGGCACAAAGAAACAGACAAATACCAAGGAGACTGACAAACTTTAAGTTGACCTTGGACAACGAGGTTAATAATGAAGGGGAGGTCATACATTGTGTATTATTGGTGGATGTTAAGCCAGTCAGCATTAATGAAGCACTTAAGAAAAGAATGTAAGGGAAGGCCATGAAGGAAGAACTTAAAACAAGTGAAAAGAACAAGACTTCGAAACTGATTGCATTACTAAAGAACAAGAAAGCTATTAATGTGAGCTAGGTTTTTAAGACCAAGCGAAAGTCAGATGGTTCAATTGCCAAGCACAAAGCAAGGTTAATAGCTAGAGGGTTTCTACAAAAAACTAGTTTAGACTATTTTGAAATGTTTGCATTTGTAGCTATATATGAAACAATAAGATTGGTGATTGTTATAGATGAAAGTAGAAATTGGTCTCTGCAAGTAGAAATTGTTCTAAATGTCCCTTGCAAGAGGAGGTTTATGTGTCGCAACCTCTTGGATTTGTGATGAATAATAAAGAAGGGATGGTGTAAAGGCTATATAAAGCCTTGTATGGGCTTAAGCAAGCTTCAAGAGCTTGGAATCTGAAAATTGATTCATCTTTCAAACAACATGAATTTAAGAAATGTGAACTAGAGTATGGTGTATATATGTAACACATCCCTAATGGCAATGTGATTTTGGCGTGCCTTTATGTTGATGACATGCTGCTGACAGGGAGATGTGCCACTAAGATGAACAAGTCCAAAAAGGTATTGATGAATACATTTGATATGAGTGACTTTGGAAACATGGTATACTTTATAGGGATTGAGATTGTGTATATTGTTAAGGGAATCATTATGCACCAACTGAAGTATGAGATTAAGTTGCTAAAGATATTTGAGTTGATGAATTGCAAGCCTGCAATTACACTAGCCGAGACAAATTACAAATTAGAAATTGACAGTGATGGTGAAGATATGGATGATACTGCTTTCAAGCAACTGGTTGGTTCTTTGAGGTACCTACGTAACAATAGGCCTGATATATGTTATGCAATTGGAGTAGTGAGCAGGTTTATGAGCAAACCAAAATATTCACACTATCGGGCAACCATTAGAATACTTAAATACATCAAAGGAACACTAAAATATGGAATTATTTTTCCATCTGATGATGCAAGCAATGTTGTTAAGTTGGTATGTTATTCAGACTCTGACTGATATGGAGATAGGGTGGACAGGAGATGTATTATAGGATATTTGTTCATGTATTTGGGGGCTCCTAGTTCATGGTGCTCTAAGAAGCAACCAGTGGTTGCACTGTCTACTTATGAAATAGAATATATAGTTGGAGTTGTAACTACATGTTAAGCTATCTAGCTAATTAATTTGTTGCAGGAAATGAAGTTTGATGTGAAGACACTAGTGAAGTTGTTAATTGACAACAAATCAGTCGTAAGCCTTGCCAAAAATCCAATGTTGCACGGGATGAGCAAGCACATTGACACAAAGTTCCATTTTCTGAAAAATCAAGTTCAAAGTGAAGTTATTGAGGTTGTTCACTACAACATTCAGAGGCAACTTGCATATGTGTTGTGAATCTTGTTGTGAATGACGACAAAGTTCAATATCAATTTGTGAGGCAAAGAACAATAGAAACCAAAATAAATGGTCTTCAGCAATAATATAATAGAATAAGGCAAGAAAAAACTGAAGGTGTGTTTACCCAGTTCGATCAAATGATCTACTCTGGGGGAGAGAGCAACTCTCTAATTCACTATACTCCGAAAGTGTTTACAAAGAAAACAAAATAAAGAAATGGTTTCCTCCCCCACACTTAAAACATGCATTGTCCTCAATGTAAGGACATAACTATTAAATAAGAGTGAGAAAAAGGAAAGAACGCACCCTAGGAGTCAAGGCGGATATGTGATCACATAAACAGCCTTTCCCAAAGAGATATCTTCTACAGGTTCCTCTTTCAAAGTGAAGATGTCATAAAGTGACTTTGGGTAGTATCCATTGACCTTGAAATATTTATTAGTGCCTTCGCCTTTTATTCCAGGATCAAAGAAGAATCTTCGATAAATAAAAGTGTCGAATGGTCACGTGAACGTGATCTTTTTTTTATATCATCAAGAGTCAAAAAATTAAAGGGCTGCCTCACTATCTTTCTCCCATCTTCAATCAAGGTCCATCCAATTCCCTTATGTTTCTTCAAAATCTACAAAAGCTTATTTTCTTGATCGAAATAAAGGTTAGAAAAAATTATAACAGGTAGCTTTTCATTCCTCTCTAAATATGCATATTTTAGATTGTCCGGAAGTGGTTTAAACTCTAAAGAAGGAGGTTGTTCAATGGAAGGCGTGGTCGGGGCAGCCGGGATATCAAGAGCCCCAACTGCATAAACGACATCATGAAATGCATCACCCTGCAAGACAACATTAATCTCAGCACAAACAGAGCAAATGTTAGTGTCAGTACATGAATCACAGAAGTAAGTATCATCAAAATCTGCTGATGATGGAAAATCAGAACACAATTTAGAATAAGTATCATCAACTAAATCAGAAGAAAACTCTTTTGGATTCGTTACTGTTTAGGAAGGTAGTTGGTTTGGTTCTTGAGCTTGCTGCATGACATTCATTAAAGTGGCAAGTTGTCCAATCTGAGTCTGCAACGACTGAATACTAGAATATGTTTGTTGCTGAAACTGAAAATCATTTATAGCCATTTGCTTGAAAAGGTCCTCTAGTGAAGGTCCAGAAGGTGTAGAGCATACAATTTATAATTCCTTCATATGCTTATTCGGATCCTCACCTGCAAGATCATAAA